CTTTATTCTGATTATATTCATTTGGGTAAAACATATCTTTAAAAAGTTAGCTATTTTTCTCACTATCATCTTGGAAGTAGTTTTTCCTGATGACAGGTTACTGGACTCGAAATGTTAACTCTGTTTTTCAATTCCTCAAGAATTTTCCACTTGTAACATCATTTTTGAACAGCCACCCCAAGATAAGAAGCATCAGGATGAGTACTTAAAATGCCAGGGCATTGTAGGCTGTGGACCAAGTACAGGTAAATGAGATTTATATAGTTTGATGTTTGTTGGTTAGCATTGATATGGTGGCTGGAAGGGCCTGTTTCTAGGACTTATGACTCTATAAAATCAGATCCTTCGACAGGTATTTGTTTCACATCTCTGATTACATCTTCTCAATTTACTACCTTGTTCTGTAATCTAACTCAACATAATTAAAATGTTTTTAACCTCCATGTATACCTCCAGTCAACAATTTCTCCTTCATTAATGTTTATGGAAGAAAATGATGTTGTCAACCAGCAAAAGGACTTACTTGCTTCAGGATCCCTTAATATCTTTATTGATTTACCTCCTTGATTTGAAGCAGAAGGAAATATCTCTCCCTTTACAATAAAATGCCCAAAACCTCCAATGGTCTGATTCCTACCATCAATAATTCAGAAAGAATTTTCTTGACCAGAGTAATCTTCCCCTTCTAAGTAAATTCTAAGGACACATGTTCTGTTTGTACTACAGTTACAGTTTTAACATCTACTTCTTTCTTGATGGACCTATGCTGAGGATTCCTTAGACTTTCCTACTGCTGTGCAATCATTCTTAGATTTTACATCTGGTGTAAGAGGACACATCTTTTTATTTCTTCTACTATGACGGAAAATGAGAAAAATGGACACTGCTTTAAAAAGGGAAGAAGATACCAGGTACTATTTGCAGCTTTGAAAAACAAATGTTGCTATCTGACACATATGAAATAGTGTGGTGAATCTTACATTTTCTTTGAGCTAAGTTCTGTCGAGAACTGAAGACTCCTGCTCGAGAACTTGCCGCTCCCCTAGACAAGCTGTTCCTGTACAGTTACAACACTGGCATCTACCCAACAACATGGAAAATTGCCCAAGTATGTCCTGTACATAAGAAGCAGGACAAATCCAACCTGGCCAATTACCACCCCATCAGTCTACTGCCAATTATCAGTAAAGTGATGGAAGGTGTCCTCAACAGTTTTATCAAATAGCACCTGCTCAGCAATAGAGATAGTAGGAGCTGCAGATGCTGGAGAATCTGAGATAACAAGGTGTAGAGCTGGATGAACACAGCAGGCCAAGCAGCATCAGAAAATCTGAAGAAGGGTCTAGGCTCGAAACATCAGCCTTCCTGCTCCTCTAATGCTGCTTGGCCTGCTGTGTTCATCCAGCTCTACACCTTGTTACCCCTGCTCAGCAATAACCTGCTCAGTGACGCCCAGTTTGGGTTCCTCCAGGGCCACTCAAGGCTGCATTCTACCAAATGTGGCATCATAGAACCCTAGCAAAACTGGAATCAATGGGTATCGGGGGAAAGCTCTCCAGTGGTTAGAGTCATTCCTGACACATAGGAAAATGGTCATGCTTGTTGGAGGTCAGTCATCTCACTCCAGGACATCTCTGCAGGAGCTCCTCAGGGTAGTGTCCTGGCCCCAACCATCTTCAGCTGCTTCATCAATGACCTTCCCTTCATCGTAAGGTCAGAAGTGGGGATATTCGCCAATAATTGCACAATATTCAGCACCATTTGTGACTCCACAGACACTGAAGCAGTCCATGTTCATATGTAACAAGATCTGAACAATATCCAGGTTTGGGCTGACAAGTGGCAAGTAACATTTGCGCCACACAAATGCCAGGCTATGACCATCACCAACAAGAGACAATCTAACCACTGCCCCTTGTCATTCAATGGTGTTACCATAACTAAATCCCTCACTATCAACATCCTGGGAGTTATCATTGATCAGAAACTCAACTGGATTCACTACATAAATACAGCGGCTACAAGAGCAGGTCAGAGACTAGGAATGCTGCAAGACTAACTCACCTCCTGACTCCCCAAAGCTAGTCCACCATCTACAAGGCAAAAGTTAGGAGTGTTATGGAATTCTGCCCACTTGCCTGGATGAGTGCAGCCCCAACAAGACTCAAGAAGCTTGATTTTTAGTACATCCACAAGCATCCACTACCCCCACCACGGACGCTCAGTAGCAGCAGTGTGTACGATCTACAAGATGCACTGCAGAAATTCACCAAAGACCTTCAGACAGCACCTTCCAAACCCATGACCACTTCCATCTAGTAGGACAAGGGCAGTTGATATATGGGAACACCACCACCTTCAAGTTCCCCTCCAATCCACTCACCATCCTCACTTGGAAATATATCACCGTTCGATCACTGTTGCTGGGGCAAAATCCTGGAATTTGCTCCCTAATGGCATTGTGGGTCAACCCACAGCAGGTGGACTGCAGCGGTTCAAGAAGGCAGCCCACCACCACCTTCTCAAGGGCAACTAGGGATAGGCAAGAAATGCTGGCCAGCCAGTGACGCCCACATCCCACAAAAATGAATAAAAAATGGTTTTTAGATGGTTTCTCGCCACGAGGTCTATCAAAATTTTTCACCGTATCTTACCAAGCATACTTCCATAACTACTTAGACTGCACCCATGAGGTCCCTCATGTCCAATTCTAGCCCCATTTTACTATGCGCACTTCCAAGAACTACTTGCCACCTAGTGGATATCTGCCGAAAGACCCGCATTGCTTATGCTCACTCCATCTTTAAAAACCTACTGAACACCCAGAGAAGAACTGTCATCCCAAAGTTGCTCCATACGGCTCCTGAATTTGCCCTGAACATGCCAGACCGGGCAAAGTTGGCACCTTGATTCCGGGCTGGGACCTGGAAGTCCTGCTGGATTGGGTGAGGCATAGGTGGGACTTCTTCTCCCCCAGCAGTGGAGGCCAATGGTGACCACGCAAGTCCAGGACTAGCACCCAGATTACAGCAGTCTCAGTCATCTGAAGGAATGCCCAGCTCTTTAAGAAGAAGAGGAATGTTAATGCCTTTCTCCATACTGCCAGCATTAGTGCCGCCATCTTCTGTCTGATACCGCATACTTACTCTGTCTCTGTGACTATATCCACCTTCCTCCAAGGCTTATGATCCACCACTGTCACTATTGCCTGCAACATCTTCCCTTATTTGCTGTCACCACTGCCCCCCCCCCCCCGACACTGGTGGCCCCTAAGCCTTGGAGGAAGGTGGATATAGTCACAGAGACAGAGTAA